ATAATATTACTTTGTTGCTTTAAGTAGAATAATCTTTCCGATATTACATTTTTAGATTTCTGATTAAATTGTTAAGGTCACATTGTTATAACTTCATTCAGAACATTTATAATGGCAGATTTACATCAGACACCATTTAATTAATTAAGTTTGATTGTTGGTTATTTTATGGATTTTAATTAAAAAAAGAATAAGAAAATTAATATTTACAAAACTGTTAGATGTTTGATACAAACCAAAGTATGGTAATAATACATAGTAATAATACATATAAAAGTACGGTAATAATAATAAGTGCCATCGGTGTAATATTAAAGATAGTGTTCTATTAAAAACATTTTAAATCATGCCACATGCAACAATAATTTTTGGTGATGACCACTTAATTCTAGAGAACTTTGCCATTTTTCTTACTTCACATAATTTCCATATTTCGTGAACGGTGGTGGAGTGAAACATCCTGCATGTTTACAAGTTAAATAAACACAAATGTATGTCAATATTGTACTTTAAAGTTGTAACAAAATACTTTATGCTGTTGCACGCCAATGTAACAAACGTGTAGAAATGAAACACAAAATGTGTGGGATGATGGAAAAGATAACATATAATTTAAAGCTGGCTAGCAGAAGGTGCCGGAGAGTGACTACTTGGCACTCAAAGGAGAATTCGGCCAATTTGCATGCCCTACAGAGACCGTAGAATTAGAAAATGAATGACAAGTTAGTAAAAAAAATCTATAGGTATATAACTAAGATAAATAAAAATGATTATAGAAGTTGCTCCAAAATGTGAGTGGGCGCCAGAAAAATATTTACATAAACTTTCCAAGGTATCTTGTAAAGCTAGTTGCTGAAATAGAAAAGGATCTAGGTATGAATTGAAGTATTTAGTTTTCACCAAAATTTTAATCCCTAGCCAAATATGTACAGTCTAAATTTATCTTATATACCCACCACCAATTATGTACAGCTAATCTAGTTATATACAAAAAAAAATACCCTGGTTACACACAACTGATCCTTGATAATCGGATTTTATAAATTATAAAATATAAGAATAAATTTAGTGACAATGACAATTGATCTGAATTTACAAATAGTAAGATAAAGAAAAGATTTTAATGGTCTAACAAGTAATAAGGACACTATCTTGACGAGATAAATGTCCAAACGTTTAAATATATAATGATAATAAAATCTAAAAAAAAATAACTCTCTGATTAAATGTGTACACACAAAATCATACAAATGAGTTAAACGGGAGGATTTAAGACATCTACCTGTAGTTGACAATTAGTCCTAAAATGTTATTCAATAAATTATTAAAAAAATTACGGCTCTTATTATTAAATAAAACAGTGGAAGTTAAATATACAAAAAAATATTATACAAAAATATTATTAAATTGGTGAATATGACTTAATAACTTAATAGTGTTCCACACCCTAAAAGGGAGATGTCGTTCCGTCTGGTTCCCTGAAGTGGTCCGGGAATAGGTTAAGAGTAGTCTGGACCTCTAAACGAACAGCTATGAGTGAAAAAGAGGTCAGGAACCAGGTGTAACCTGACTAGGTTCTAACTTAAATTTTCTTCTTTAAAATAAAAATATTCCAAGCAAAAACAAAACCAATTTTCCCCGACTTCTGTTCGACTTCCCCAAAAAGGTAGGCAGATCAAGGTGGCTTGAAAACAAAACAGGACACTTATAAAAAAAACCCAAACTAAACTTCTCTACTTCTTCTTCATAAATAAAAACTTTTCTTCAAGAAAAAAAAAACCTTCTGTAAGCCGTCTCTTTCTCCTACCTTTAAACTTAAGTGTCCTTTACGAACGTCGAAACAGAAGTGAGGTCGGAATCGCTTGCTTTGAGCCAGCTAAACTATGGTTCCCAATTTGGACGTTTGGTGTCGTGGTTTAATACCAATTTAAATTTTAAAATTCAGAAAGTCATTAAGATGATTGGGATTTTAGAATTTATTCACAAATGTTTACGAAATATTAAAGTAACGTTCTCGTTACAAAGTTTGTTAAGAAATACTTTACATTTCTCTTGCTAGATATTTTTGATAAATACTCGAAGTGCCAGGATTGGAAAATCATCATAAATAACTTGTTTCTACGTAGAATTGCATTAGTACTCTTATAATAAGTTTTGCAATACCAGCTGAAGATCCAAATATTATTTTGACTTAACCATAAATGGATCTCTTTTTATAATTCAATAAATTATTTTTTCTCATGTAAAAGTACTGCAAATAAAATGTTTCTTTTTTAAAATTCTACGCTCATTATTAATATGAAATTCAAAACCTTTTTTTTTTTCAATTTTTCACATTAAAAAATTAGAAAATTTTTTATTGATTCTTAGTACATACATATATTATTTATTTTCTTTTGCCTACGTTTCAAATGTATATAGTTTTCTTCATTTTCATATTGGCGAACAATTTTAAATTCAGTTCCATGTTTCAAGTTTTTAAGCCATTTTAATTGTTTAATTTTTTTTATGTTTTCACAAGAAAATATTTCATCAAGTAGGCTTTGACCGTTTATAAAAGCCAGAAAACCGTACTTAAGCATTTTGATTTATTCTTAATAAATCAAAACTATTATTAAACGAAAATAGCACATGCTCATAAATATTTTCATTATAAAGTTCATTATCGAGAATCTATGTAACTGAATTTTCAGATCTCAAAAACGTTTAGATTGGATACGTCTAATACACGCTACACCGTAAGAAATCCGATATTAATATTTATTTTAAAGCAATTTGCCTAAAATAGTTTCTGAAGTTGAGAAATTACCACATAAACGAGAAGTGTAACAGGTAACAGGCAATCTTCCGCATTAGAAACCAGCGCCTTGGTTCTAAAATGCTGGTGATGAGTTTAACTATCTGCGGTGATGAGTTTACCTATCTCCAAAGGATTCCGGTGATCAGTTTACTATATCTCGGAGGGTCTAATAATTTTATGGGGGGCTATATAGTGATAAGTTCGTACATGTCCACAAAATTGATTTTGAAAACTCCAAAACCATAGCCATCCAGAACCATGCACTTATTTAAACCAAGAATTATCCGAAACCCATAGAAATTAAAAAAAGGCCAAATTTTCTCGATAAACGAGATGACGGTATACTGTTACGGTAATTATTGATATAAGGTACATCTTGAGACGATTCCATCAAAAAATAGACTCCTATGGAAAATCTGAAATTCAAAACATATCTCCCTGGACTATTTGAAACTAAAGGAAAATAAGAAATTCTTACACATATTAGTAAATAAATAATATTTACTTACCACGAGATGATGCATAAGAGAATCTTTTAAAATATTTTTAAAAAAATTATTTATTTTTACTACTTTTTATTATTTTATATATCTGTACATTTTCTACCAAAATTAGTTCAATTAAATGATGACATAGCAGTGGCGGCTTTTCTTTATGTGCTGCTGAGCTGCAGAACTACCAAACAACCATAGCAAATCTTAATTATTAAAGAATAATTAATATAGTTTTATTTCAAATCTGCCATATTATCATATTAAACATAAACTGTTAATAATAATTCACCAACAACGATGATTAATATTATTTTTTTTACGTATTTACTCCTCTAGTGAAACCGTATAATTTTTTTACGTATTTGGTGCTCCAGTGAAGCAATCTTTTTACGTATTTGCTGCTCCAGTGAAGCCGCGTCGATAACAACCGAAACACTGGCAGCGGTTAAATGCATTTATTAGGCAAACGGCGATCTTAGCCGATGTGCTTCGGCAATCGGCTGATTAACGGCCTCGGAAATGTGTTTGCGAGCTGCAATTCACGACAGTTATTCGTGACCGTTGCATCTGTGCCAGAGAACTACGAACGCAGAGAAGCGACACTCCTTTCATCTTGCGTGGGCAAGCCGCCAACGAGTGAAAATGACAGGAAAGCACCTTATTTTTTAATAGTCAGTGGGCATATTACACAATATAAATTCTTAAATAAAATTTAGCATTTATGTTGACTTTCAATAAATATGAAATATTGCACATGAAATATATTTGTATTTATAAATAATACTTCATTACTTACAACTATAAGAGTATTAGTATATTCGAAGTGTATTGTAAATAATGAAGTATTTAACTTTTGTCAATATCTCATCTTAATAAATTTACAGTTTTCTCCTGATTAAGTCACAAAATTGTCACTAAATATTGAGATATACAATAAATAAAGTTTTAATATTTTTTATTTGTAATTCCCATTTAAATATTTATTCCCTAAATATGTTGTGTACTCCGATCCATATATTTGATCTTTGTTATTTATATGTAACGAATTAAACATTGACAGACAACTTTTGTATATAGCAAAAAGTAGATGAGCATTTAGTTTTTTCATAATTTAATGTAAGTTTGTTTGGTGAAAAAGACAGCAAATATTTGAAGTTATGTTAATGTAAGTTTGTTTATTTGCAATCATGTTTTTATTTTGAAGTCTTGTTCTGTTATAATTTTAAGATTTTCCCAATTTTCGATCTAATTATGTCTCCAACAATTTTTAGTTTGAGCATTTTAGGAATTTCTTTGTTTCGTTTAAATCAAATATTCTCGTGTATAAAACCCTCTATATATTTTTATTTCCTAAAAATACTATATTCGTATTGTTGTCTGCGAGCGCTTTCACACCAGTAGGCCAACATCTGTGTTGATTTTTTGACCTGAGCCTTCGGAGACAATAAATTTAATGTGTGTTCGTAATTCTCTGGTTTTTATTAATAATTAATAAATAATAAATAATTGACTGTATAAAATTCTGTGGGGCTTTTGAGCTCGCCTTACGAGGACACGATGAATCTGAAACATCAGATAACCCTGGAATTTTTCGTGGTTTAGTGAATTTTTCTGCTGAACTTGATAAAACACTTAGTGAACACCTTACAAATGCGACAATTTTCAAAGGTACCTCAAAAACAATACAAAATGATATTTTGGATTGCATGCTAGAAGTATACGCTGAGGAGATTTTAAACGAAATCAATGAAGCCCCATTTTTAGCAGTGATAGCTGATGAGACAACGGATGTTTCTATGAAATTTCAAATGGTCATTGTTTTTCGTTATGTAAAAAACGGTGCTCCAGTTGAAAGGTTTTGGACTTTTTTGCTTCCAGAAAAACATGATGCTGAAACCTTAGCTAACACAATTTTGAATGTTTTAGACCCAATATTAAAGAATAACAAAAATAAGCTCATTGCACAAAGTTATGACGGAGCAGCTGTTATGAGTGGGATACATGGCGGAGTGCAAACAATAATTAAGAGAAAATATGAAACTGCTCATTTTGTGCACTGTTACGCCCATCAATTGAATCTAAAAGGTGCAGTGCCTTTACTAAAATTTATAATTTCTAATAATTTAGAGGACACATTAACAGAAACCAAAAAGTTGATACAAATTCTGGTGACTACGCCAATGACCACAGCAGAAGCTGAACGTAGTTTTTCAACTTTAAAACGGATCAAAACATTTTTAAGAAATTCAATGTGCGAAGACAGATTAACAGCCCTTTCCACACTCTCGATAGAAAAAAAGTTCATCGCTTCAATACCGAACTTTAACGATAAAGTAATCGAAAAGTTTGCGACAAAAAAGGACCGGCGTATTAATTTCCAATTTAGAAAAATGCAATAAATGTAAGTTAATCAGATTTTTATAGCATGTCGTTATTAGTTACTATTAATTAGTATTAAAGCTAATTTTATTGTTTTTGTTTTCGTATGTTATTCTATTTCTATTATTTTATATTGACCGTGGTTCATGCAGCACACCCTATAGCAGATGTCACGAGCCGCCACTGTGACATAGCTATAAAAATTGAGCTCGCCCCACATACTTTCGTTGCCAAAAACTTAGTGCATAATTCTAATATATCTAATATTTTTTATACATTACATAGCACTAAAAATAATTTTCTTTTTTGTTTACACTATACTTTGAAATTATTTTTAGCTTATTTTTCAGATCCGATGTATACTCACATAGGTCGATAAATGCAATGGCGTCAAGATGCTGTACCGTGACGCTGACGAAAACTTTTCTTTACATTTTCCAGATAATATTTTTGGTGAGTTATTTTAATATATACGTACATATTTTTAATAGTGGTAATATATTGTCACAATTATACCAAGTATTATTAGATAATAATACGATATTCCATTTTGTTGATGCAGAATTTTCAAATGAGTTATTCCCGCGACGTATAAAAAACTATGAGTTTTATAAGTTATGTTGGTAACAACACAAAGTGTGTTATTGTCTATTGTTCGTCATAATTTTTTTAGGTTATATGCTATTGTCTGTTTTTATACAGGGTGTGAAAAATATATTGGTATAAAGTTATACCGCGCTTTGTAGGAATGACAATCATCAGGTGTAGGATGAAATAAATAAAGTGTAATTTACCTAAAAACAAAATTGCTTTTAATCTTGAATCCTTTAATGATTGATGGTACTTCTGGGTGATGGCGACTTTATTACATCTAATACAACCTATTAGAATATTTGTGGGTGTAACTCGATTTAGAGAATTTGTAGTCAGTTGTGGTGTGAACTATTGTCAAACGCCATCGTAAGTAATTGATGGATTCGACCGTTACTTGATGGAAATTCATTTTATGAAACAATAAAACACTGAAATTTCAAACTTCCACAAAATTTATTTTAAATCTTATCACTACAGCTGTTTCGGCTAATTGCCTTTCTCAAGTGATCTATTTTTGGCTTGGGTTTACAAATTTATAGTCTCTAATGAAATAGGTTGAGGAGGGAAGAACTGTTTGTCTCAAGTTGGTCATTCAGAATTATATCTGTGTTTTATAATTTGTTGATTTCCATAGATTCTAACAAAGATAGCTTAAGGCCTTTATTTTGAATGTGAAGAATTTTAAATTTATCATTAAAAGAATGATTATGATTTAGAAGGTGAAGTGCGTATGTCGAATCTGTTTTTCCATTCTTGAAAGCCCTTTTATGTTCTGCTATTCGTTTATCAAAGTTTCTACCAGTTTGACCGATGTAAGTTTTTGAGCAGTCGTCACATTGAAGTTTGTACACACCACTATTTAAGTATTTTTTATTTTTGCTCTTGTTATTTTTAATATATTTGCCTAGGTTGTTATTTGTTCGGAAAGCTGGTGTTATTCCTTTCTTTTTTATGTGTTTGGCAATTTTTGTTGTTATTTTGCCTGTATATGTAATCGAGCAGAAGGTACTGGGTTTTTCTCTGGTGGTGAAAATACTGATTTCAGGGCTTTCTTGTGTAGTTTTTGATTTAACATTTTATTAATTGTTTGTTAGTTGTATCCGTTGTTTACTGCTATTTGCTTAATCATACTTAATTCTGTCTCCAAGTTGTATTTTGACATCGGAATTTCTGTTAATCTATGTAACATACTATGATAAGCTGCCCTACAAATATTTCAAAACATCCCGTATTCAAACAGTTTTTATATTGGTGGAGATACGTAGACGACGTACTGGTTTGTTTCACAGGAACTAACAGGCAACTCGACCAATTTTTATCCTATATTAATTCACTTCATAGTCATATTGAATTTACAATAGAAACAGAATAAAATCAATCCATAAATTTTTTAGATTTAAAAATTAGCAGACTTCAAAACAAACATGACTTCTCCATATTTCATAAACCTACCCATACTGACACGACTATACACAATTCATCATCCCATCCAACACAACATAAGCTGGCTGCTTATCATGGTATGTTACATAGATTAACAGAAATTCCGATGTCAAAATACAACTTTGAGACAGACTTAAATATAATTAGGCAAATAGCAGTAAACAACGGATACAACGAACAAACAATTAATAAAATGTTAAATCAAAAACAACACAAGAAAGCCATGAAATTAGTATTTCCACCACCAGAGAAAAAACCCAGTACCTTCTGCTAGATTACATATACAGGCAAAATAACAACAAAAATTGCCAAACACATGAAAAAGAAAGGAATAACACCAGCTTTCCGAACAAATAACAACCTAGGCAAATATATTAAAAATAACAAGAGCAAAAATAAAAAACACTTAAATAGTGGTGTGTACAAACTTCAATGTGGCGACTGCCCAAAAATTTACATCCGTCAAACTGGTAGAAACTTTGATAAACGAATAGAAGAACATAAAAGGCTTTCAAGAATAGAAAAACAGATTCGACATACGCACTTCACCTTCTAGATCATAATCATTCTTGTAATGATAAATTTAACATTCTTCACATTCAAAATAAAGGCCTTAAGCTATCTTTGTTAGAATCTATGGAAATCAACAAATTAAAAAACACAGATATAATTCTGAATGACCAACTTGAGACAAACAAGTCTCCCCTCCTCAACCTATTTCATTAGAGACTATAAATTTGTAAACCCAAGCCAAAAATAGATCACTTGAGAAAGGCAATTAGCCGAAGCAGCTCTAGTGATAAGATTTAAAATAAATTTTGTGGAAGTTTGAAAACAAAGTTTTCAGTGCCATCGCAAGTTACACGTGCTTTTTTACGTGGTTGTTTATTGCCAAAATAGTGAATAATTTTTAATTGTAAAAACATTATTTGCTGTTCTCTAAATCACGCCTTTTTACACATGGCTTAAAAATACTTTCAGGGGTAAAATGGATAAGAAAAAATTATATCTTCCTTCTGTATACCAGCAATGTTGCTTGTTTTACAACATTTGCTGATGTGTCCCTTGCTATTTTAACAACTTTTATTCTTCTGAGTATTCTCATTGCGACTGTTTCCAGCACTCTCTGTGTTTTTGATATGTCGGGTCGTTTTTCTGATGCGTTCATCATTATTGATCTTATAGTGGCCTTCTAAATTCTTGATTTCATATCCAGCGTTCAATTACAAATTAGTCCATTAATTTGTAATCTCACATTATTCTTAATTTTCTGAATTTGTATTGTTTCACCGTGTATAATTGCGAAACTTATCGATTAGTAACTTAATTATAGTTTGAACTTCTTGCAAACTATTGCTTAATATTTATTTAGGAAATGCCTGCAATCAATTCCTCGGTTTAAATTATATGTGCCAGCTTTCAAAAGTGATGAGTATGAAGAGCTAAGCACCGTGCTAGCTCAAATAGAGGCATGCATGAACTCCCGGCCTTTATGCCTTGATACGGAAGATACAGAAACATGACTACTTGGCAAATCTACTACAACAGCGATATAAATGGCAAAAACCCGTCACAAACCTAGAAAAAGTAGAAGTGGTAATAATTAAGGAGAACGATACTTCGCCGGGGAACTGGCCACTAGCGAAGATAATCGAAACACATCCCGGTGCCGAGGGTTTGACAAGAGTCATAACAGTTCAAAAGGCGAACAGAAAAGTAACTACTCGCGCACCTCACGAAAGACAAATAGAGCACGTAGTATATGGAAAAATGTATGTTTTTTATACTAATTTTAGTATTTTTGAAACCGTCAAATGCAGACTTGTACAAGATTTATGCCCCATTCCCCGGATGGTATTCAGAGCATCTTATCGATGTATATATTATAGATCGAGGGATATTTAGAATAAAACTAATCTATCAAATATTATCACTATGTCACTATCGGCATCGAGTCAGATTAAAGAAGAACAAGAACGGGCAAAAATATTAAGTAGAGCATTGGATCTCTAAGGTAAAAGAAGGCCCAAAAGGGGACTTCTAGGAACAATCCTCATATTATTATTTGGAGTAAATGATGAAGTATACAGGGACATTGATTCCTTGGACTAAAATCAAAAGGAAATAATAAAAAATTCAAAACATCAGACGAAGATGATGCTACAAACTATAGCTTCGATTAATTCTACAGAAGACAGAATAAATGGACATTTAAATAGGTTCTGAGAAGCATTGATAAAAGGTCTAATTGATGTCTCATATAGAGCTGACGTAGAAAAAGGGTGCATACGACTGAAAGTGAAAGCAGCCTATGACCGTCCAACGGAATGCAAAAAAATATACGAATACATACTAAAAAGTATAAAACTTTCATTACAATCATGGACACTTCATAGATATTAAAAAACTCGGAGAAATATAGTCAATTATGTTGAATTCTACAAAGTTTCTTCCAAAAGAAAAAAATATAAGAAGGCAGTCAATAATAGATAAGATTGTACAAAATGAAGAAGGAGACATCGTCATTATAGGCTATTTGACTATTTGGCATTAAAATGATGGCTATACAATGTGAGATAAAGTTGTGATAAAGTGTGTGATAAGAAAAAGTAAGGTTGAAAAACAATGGCACCAGGTAGCAAAGGACAAATTAAAATGGAAACGCCAAGATAAGGCTTACGTCCAGGAGTAAAAAGTTAAGGGCTGTCGAAAAAAGTACTTCTGTTCTCAGTCTTTATTTCGGTCTATCGGCCCAGTCTCCTAGTCATAGATCTCTCTCTGACATTGCCTCTTGGACTCCATTAAGCCATGTTGTTTTCAGTCTTCCTCGTTCTTTTGCTCAGGTCGCTTCCAATCCAATATTGCCTTTGGTATGCGATGGTCTGTCATTCTCTGAACACGTCTGTATCCAATATGT